TTTTTTTTTTGTTTATTCTGGAGGGGTGCGCCAGGCCCGAGAAGTAGTGCAACACTTGGGCGACGCGCCCGAATAGCAAGCTATCCTTTGGGCCTTTCCCCTTAAGAAATAGGGAAATTTACATACTTATACCCTATATAAGAATTATTTGGAAATATACCATCTGTATAAATTCTTATCATTAAGATATTTAGTGGATGTCTTTTTTTCACTATTACGAGAGTCTCCAATTAGAATACATCTCTCTCTCCAATCCAAAATCATGTTTTTAATTAAATTGATTTCTCTCTCCAATTATGATATGTCTCTCTCTCCAATCCAAAAGCATGTATTTAATTGAATGACGACTAAATATGTTTCTCTCTCCAATTAAAAACTATGTATCTAATTCATTTAGAGCTAAAAATCCGCAAGCAAAAAGAAAAATCACAAACAAAAAAAAAAAAACAAATCTAAAGCCTAGAATTTATGGATTGTAAAGGAAAAAATTGGTCTTCGCAATTTGTATATATATTGTATATATACGTTAGATAAACATGATCTGACAGTTCTTCGCGATTTGTATATATATATTGTATATATACGCAGGATAAACATGATCTGAAAGTGCTCTAAGATTATTATACATAAGATAAACAACACTAAAACGGGATGAAAACATAATATACAATTTTAAATGGATTGGAAAGAAAAAAATTGTTCTTCGCAATTTGTATATATATATATTGTATATATATACGTCAAATAAACATGATATGACAGTGCTCTAAGATTATTATACATAAGATAAACAATTATTATACATAAGATAAACAACATTAAAACGAGATAAAAACACACTACACAATTTTGAATGACTGCAAAATCCAAATTGAATGTAGTTATACATAAGATAAACAACACATATCTACTTTACATGACATTTACAAAGTTCAACCAACAACTTTCCGCACTTTAAGAAAAAAAAAACAGTACAAATTATGTATAACTAACGTATAATTTGTGTATATGTTTACTACACTCCTTCGTGGTGACGCGCACATATCGGGAATTAAGTTTTTCCTCTTCAGTCATCTACACCGGCATGCCCAACCGCTCCGCGCGCTTCATCTT